TTCTGTTTCTCTGGAGAACCCTAACTAATACAAGTCCTGAGGAAATTTATAGTAAGAGGAAAGATGGTCAGGGAAGACTCTAGGGGAAATAAGTTGAGAAGAAGATGGATGGGAAAATTTCAGACAAGTCACAACTTTTCTAAGCATCATCTTCCAGGGCCCAGTGCTTTGTAACACTTGGGAAGTTTCTCCATCTGCCATAGCTTCCTCCTGTGGCCATCCTTACCTCCTAAACACCATTGACAAGAAGTCTTTCCTTGACCAAACTTTAGTCAGCCTCCTTTGAGCCCTCTTTTTGATGAGGCCTCTCCTTGGCCCTCATCTTTGGTCTGTCTGAGTCAAGTTGTAGCAAAGAATCCTGGTAAGCCAGTTTATAAAGCATCTTTCTTACCATTGATATCCAATCAAACTCTTTTCCTTTATCCTTTATCTAATCGACCTCCTCTTCCCCTCCCCCACCTTTGATACCGAGCCAAATTCCTCATACTGACCATAGGCCATAAATCCCGACTTGGTCCTGTTACATTTGAGATGAGTTCGATTTCCCTCCCCTATTTTAAGAGTCTCTAGAGCTCATTACTGGTCTTGAATAAAGTCTTCCTTGCCATTTTTAGCAAGTGTCTGGTGCAATTTTCGTTTTATTTTATACTACAACGCAATGACAGCTCAGTAAGTAAAAATTACAGGGGACAGATTAAGACTAGATTCTTAGACATTTCTTCAATCTGACTCAAAGTGTGATTTTAGATTTTTTTGTTATTCTTAGTGTGAACCACCTAATACATACCTAGGCATGTTTTAAAGCTACATCCTTCTGTTGAGAATTCGTTTGTACATGGGCGTTACAAAATAATTTTATAGCTAAGCAAATAGACATAAATCTATTAATGAAATCTTCTTTAACGAAGTACAAAGACCAATATTATGTGTTTAAGAATTATACCGGTTTTAGATTATGCTTTATTTTCTGAATTATCCAGGCTGGAGGTTCTCTTTCTTCATTCAAATGTAGTAAGATATGGGAGGAGCCACAGGCTGGAGTCAGGAGAACTCAGTCCTGATATCAACCTTGCCACTCACTGTTTTATTTTGGACAAACCACCCTTTTTTTGGTGCTTTAGGCAGGTAATATAGATTTGTAGCTAAGAACTGGATGTCTAGACTTAGAATTGACTAAGTTAAACCTCATCTTCAAACTTTATTAGCTGTGTGACCTTGGGTAAGTCACTTAACCTTTCTGTTTCAGGGTATTTTTCTTCTATGGGATGGTGATTATAATAGTGCCCACCTCTTCGGGTTGTTCAGAAGGTTAAATCAGATGAAAAATGTAAAGTTCTTGGTACAGTAGCTGGAAAAATCTCATTAAATATTATTGACATACAATAGAAAGAATGGGCTAGATGATCTTGAAAGCTCCTTCATTTTCTAACTTTATATACATTTCACAAGTTGTATAGGAGTTCAAAATAGACTGCATGTCTCCATTTAATCAGGGCCACAGTTAAGAATAGATAGTGAAAGAGTGAATATAAATTTCGATTCGGTCAGTAAATTTGAATATCCATAGATGCCATAGGTTGAGGATAAGGACTTATTTGTTATTCTCTGTATTTTTAGATCCAGCTCAATGTCTGCCACTTGGTGTGTATTCAGTATTTGCTGGGAGGGGGCGGGAATGGAATAGAGCATGTACAGCAGTTAAGAACAGGTTGCAGGTCAGACTTCCTGCCTTTGAATCCTGGCCCTCTCACTTATTTATTTGTATGAATGGCAGCTCAGTTATTTCTTTAAGGCTCAGTTATCTTGTCTATCAAATGGGGGTTGTTATGAGGTTTACTTGATAAAGACATCAGGCATATGGTCCAGTATCTGCCTTGTAGTCAATGTTCAATAAATAGCCATATTGGATACAAATTTGATATTGAGGTTCAGGCCCTTGATGCAGCTAAACATCCGTCTCTACAAGCGCTGGAAATAGTGTAACAGTGAACCCCCTGAGGCTTGTCTCCTTGTTACTCATCTCTGAGCTTGGTGTCCATGCTAGAACGATCACATTAGTTGGATCCTTAGCCCTCTGTCTTCTAATTCTAAGAGCCCAAAACCAGACATTTAATTCCCCAAGTGAAGACAGTTCAAAGGCCTTCAAAAACAATTAATATGCTTGGCCGTCCTTAGCAGCCTGGGCACCTTGTGGTTTTGCTGACCGCCCTATCATAATATTGATTAATCTTTCATGTAACAGATAAACAATCTTTAATACATATTCGTGCCTTCGTTATTAATGAAATCCTAGCAGTTAGTGGTGGACTCTTGGGCAGCTCGTTTGTCTGGTGGAAATGACTGCAAAAAACACCTGACATGTTTCTTGGTGTAGAGCTCATTTAAATCATCTTACATTTGAATGCTGCCAAAGAGAGTAATATTCTCTAAAACCTGTAAACAAAGTGAAATGGGATTAAAAAATATCTCTTCATGAAACAATACATGTCCCCATTCCTGTTTATCATTTTTTCACACTTATTATAGCACTTCCTGTGTGTCAGGAGCTATCCTGAGAGCATTACAAATATTTGTAACATAAAGACGTAAGTATATTACTTATTTAATCCTAATGCAACCGCTGTGATATAGATACTGTCGTTATGTCCATTCTGTAGATGGAGAAGCTGGGCCACAGAGAGATCAAGTATCTTGACTGAGGTCACACAGCTAATCATGTTACAGCAGGATTTGAACCCAGGCCTCTGGCTCTGGTGTCCACACTCTTGACAACTGTGTTTATTCTTCCATCTGTATTAATGATTTAATGGGAAGTAAATGAAGAGATGATATTTGGGAATGATATTAAACTGAGAGGCTTTTTCAGTGATATTAATGAAATAGAGTCCCACGTGAGCTCAGTGTAGTGTAATGGCGGAGCTCAGACATTGAAGTCACAGAGTTTTGGGTTTGAACTCACTACACCACTTACCAGATGTGTGTCCTTAGTCCTGACAATTCACTCCCCTTTGGTTGGTTATACAGCCCCTTGGAGGGGCCATGGCCTCATGTGAGTGGAAGGTACTTCTAGGTTCTCTAACTTTGAGATTGGCCATGTGACTTACATACCATGAGAAGTAAATACTCCAAGTGGCCCCTGTGCCTCCTGTCAGTACCCCAGCCTGGGGTGAAGTGGAACCGCCCCAGCTACCCTGCAGATATACGAGTGAGGTGTAAATACCTACTGCCATTTGTCTCAGACTTTGTACTTATCTATTTTCCCAAGTGTAAAGTGAGGATAAGTTTTATTTTCTCAACTGTAAAGGAGGGATAATAACAATACTCTCCTTTTAACAAAGTTGCAAGAATTGGTAATAAAGTCAAGGTCTATCCTAAAATTTTCAACACTTACATAAGGAAGCATAAAATTATGATAAGATATTCCTTTTGTTGGTGTAATATCCAAATAAGCTTTATCCAAGCCTCATTAAGAGCTGTTTTCAAAATATCTATTTACTCACAAATCGTTCTTCTCTATGCATTAAGTAGGCTTCCTAACACACAAATTATTTCATGTTTTTGGAAATAATGAATTGCTTTTCTTTTTAAATAATCTTTTTTTTTTTACGCCAATTCAGTCTAACAATTCTAGCCTACTAAATTCACGGTATGTATTTTTCACCGTGTGTATATTTCAGCGGCAATGGTATAATTTACTATAGGCAACACTTTCTAGGTCATGAGTAGATTAGTTAAAACTTCCAAACATTGACATTACCTAGAAAATGTTTCTAAAGTATAACATATATGTATATCTAATAAAGAGTTCAAATGTGATTTAATGGTTCAATGGGATGACAAAAGGGAAGGAACAGCTTGTTTGGGTAAACTGAAACTTTGTGTGGCTTGTATAAGGCAGTACAACATCAAGCTTCCTTATAATGTTTATGTAGTACATTTTTACATATTTAAAAATGGAGATCTCCAGCCAAGTAGAGAGAATGTGGAAATTTTGTGTCTTTTTACAATGAATCCCGTGGGATATTTAAAAACAGATGTATAGGGAAGATAACAAGTAGATCTGTTGCTATTTTCTCCACTAATATTAATGGACAGCATCCAAGAGTAATTTTTCTACTCTAGGTTAATTATAAAATGCTGATGAGGCTTTCATGTCATAATTAGCATGCTTTAGCTTATTTTCTCTCTTACCCCTGGATCAAAATCTGGTCCACTGACTATTTTTTTCAATGACTTAACCACAACTCTAAGTGGTCTATAATTATAATAGTGTTATTGGGCATTTATTCTACAAACAAATCACACATTTTAAAGCAAGATGGCAGATTGCCACATATTAATAATTAGTGGTATGCTGATAAGTTAGTTCTCTGGGGGGAAAGCCCCAATGTGCAGTGTTTGCCAATTTCTGTGGTATAAATATTCCCACTGTGGTTGATTTCAAGCTACCAATCTTTTGAAAGCAGGCTTACAAAATTCCTAAATATTTAACAATAAGCTTTCATGAACCAGTCCAAGTCAGCACCAGCAGGCTCACACCACTGTACAGCTAATACTCATACATACTGGATTTTTGTGTTGGAATATTGATACTTTTTAATTATCCTTTGATGCCTCATTCAACTACAACTCGTCCATTAAGAGAGTGTCTTTATGTAAGACCGTTAAGGACACTTTGCAATAGTGATTACAATAATTTAAGTCACAGACTACTTTGAGGAGCTAATCAAAGCTGTAAACCTTCTCTCCAAGAAAAAAGTACACATTAAGAATTGTGAATACAGGGGCTGGCCTAGTGGTGCAGTGGTTAAGTGTGCATGTTCCACTTCGGCGGCCGAGGGTTCACCAGTTCAGATCCCAGCTGCGGACATGGCACCGCTTGGCATGCCATGCTGTGGTAGGTGTCCCACATATAAAGTAGAGGAAGATGGGCACAGATGTTAGCTCAGGGCCAGTCTTCCTCAGCAAAAAGAGGAGGATTGGCAGTAGTTAGCTCAGGGCTAATCTTCCTCAAAAATAAAAAAGAAATAAAATAAAAGAAAGAAAGAAAGAAAAGAATTATGAATACAATTTCAGGGAATTCTTGCACCTCCTGACACCTGTTCAAAGGGTCTGAAATAAAGAATCTCTTGTATCTCTTTGGGCTAGACAAACTAATTTGGCAAGCAACATTCTGAATGTCATTGCTTCAGTTCACTAAGTTTTTGAATTACTAGAGAGCTCAGAAGTCCCTATCACATTGCAGAAGAATTAAATTATCAATATTTTATTAGTCACGTTTACTATCTGGCCTCTTCTGTTATTAGTCTAAAATTCAGAGATCACAAAGAATTCATGAGGAGATGATGAGGTCAGTCATAAGGTAACACTGAACAATTTAGTTTTAATTTCTCCCTTTGTCCTACTAATTTTGTATGAACTAAGCTAACTCTGGAACTTGTGATATTTCAATTTTCATTTTGGAATATAAGCTTTCTTCATGTATATTTGTGCTTGTGTAGGTATGTGTATATAGACAAATTAGCTTCTCAATTAACACTCACTCTTTTTCCTTTTTAATGCCATGCTTCACTAAACCTATTTCCCCCTGACTTGGCCAGACACCTTTTTTATGTAGTCCCCTAGTACTTGTATTCATAGTTTGTTGCACACTTCATCACTAGATTTAAATAATCAATTTTGTAATGGTTTTCAAAAATAATAATTTCTTCTACTAGATGTAAACTTTCAAGGCTGGGAAATTCATAACGTGGAACAATACACATCACCTGATGGGTATGAGTGAAGATTTGTTGAATGAAAGAATGAATGAGTAAATGATAATTTTTTGGATATAAATTTTCAAGAGAAAAAAAGTAAATGAGGAGAAAACAAAAAGATACCAAAGTTTTAATCAAACAACCAAATTACTAGCTTCAATTTTAGTGTTTTTTTTTTTTTTTCCTATCCATCCACCTACAACAGCAGCATTGTTACTCTTGATCATTGGGAGTTAAGGATAATGACCCTATGAGATCTTTATTCAAGAATGTCTCAAAAGGCAAGAAGGAAACTCATTTCTCCTCAATTTCTGAGGTTTCGTTTTGCTGAGTCGTTTTCACTTAATCTTCAAATGACCAGAGAATTCTGCTCACCAACATAAATCACCACTGGAGAATTCTGATCCATTAGAGTTGGCTTATAATTAGCAAAGGTATTTAAATAAAATACTGAATCACTTTGAAGATGACTGTTCAGTTAGGAAATGATGACGTCAGAGACCAATACCCTCATTTGTCAGCAGGATAGCTCATTCAATTTAGGGAACATTCAGAGACTAAAAGCTGGAACTTGGGTGTTTCAGCATCAGTAAACCCTGGCGCTGGGAAAGGCCTTCTCACACCACAGGCACAGCAGGCGTCCCCTTATAACCAAGACTGATGAAATGGTCGACTGAGGGTCAGACAGGCTGGTCAGAAACAGAATCTCAGTCCTTTGGCTCTTAACATGGTTCTATTTGGAACTGTTGTTTGGCTCAATACATTGAAATGTGACGTCAACTCACTTACCACATATTTATTGAACAACTACCATTGTGACAGATATATTGCCAGGATTCCAGCAGCAGCACAAATGAACACAAGATACTTCATGCCTTTGACAAATTTACATTCTGGTAAAACAAGAAGATAAATCACTGAAACACATAGCAGAGTGAAGACAAAGCTTAAGAGATGTAAACTGACAGAGAAGTTATATAACACATCCTATTTGAGTAAATCAAGCAAGGTTTCATGGTGGAGATACCATACTGAGATGAACACTGAAGGATGGGTAGGATAGCAACAGATGGAGATTGGAGATATAGAGGGCATTCTATAAGCAAATATGTGCAGCTGAGAAAACTGGGGCATATTTTCATAAGAAGAGCAAGCAATTGAGTTTGAATAGAGCATATATTCCTTGGAATAATATAATGGAAAATGAGTCTGGAACTAGATTTTGCCCATATTATATGTGTGATGAGTGTTATATTGGTAATGAAGGATTGAGTAAGTGAAAGCCATGGATTTGAGGCCAGTAGTTACCATTGACTTGTCTTTGTTCTGAGACAGTAGACCATACCTCTGTCTGTTTGTGAAGACATGAGAAATCCAAGGCTAGACCGGATTATGAGAACAACTAAGTTTGTTTCTGCTACAGTTTTCTCTCTTTGGACCTGTCACCACAGCCTTCTCCCTCTCTCCATTCTTCTCTAAGTGGGACTTGTATCTGATCCCACTCCTGGTGAGGAATGACCGACAATGGCCTGGGGATTGGAACGGTGGGAATAATAGTTCTAAGGAGCATTTCCATATTATCAGGAGGACTCCTAAAGTAAAACACTTTAGGACTCTTAGGAACCACATTATAGTGGTAGAACGTGAGGCAGTAGGGTAAATAGTTTGAGGTGGAGGAACACTGGCATGGACCCCCCTGCCCCCAAATCATTTAAAGCAGAACAGCATCTACATGTCTCCTTTCTGTGTCTCACAGGGACCATTGGTTGTAAGAGCGACAGCCTGATTCAGAGTGTGGATGACTCAGGACAAACTACTCCCAAGAGTGGAAATTACTCAAAGCATAGGTACCATGCTTTGCTAGTCATATTCTTTTCATGAACTAGTGAAGGGGTATGAGGCAGTTAGGATAGTGGAAAGGCAACTAAAAATCAGGAGATTCTAGATTTTAGATCCAGATTTAGTAGCATGTTCACATTTGTTAAAAAAAAACACACCTAGAAATGGGTATATAAGTTCTAAGAGCCATTTAACCTCCCTAACATCAAAAAGAAGGCATAAATTATGGGATGTCCCTCCCTGCAGTGCAGAGGCAGAGTTCCTTTCATGGTGCCTGTCCAGTACAGAGGGCTGCGGGGAGGTGGTAGCTGCAGAGGGATGACTGGCAGGGGAACTGGGGACCTGCATCTTCAGTCAGTTCCACGAGGTGACATTCTGTCAGGAAGATATTCCGCTGGGCAGGTGGCCCCTGTGGGTGATGCTGGGAGTGCCACTGTTTGCAGGAAGGAGAGATCACGTTCCGGAATGCTGCTCGGAAGCGGTGAGAGAGCACGTTATAGATAATGGGGTTGACAGCTGAGCTCAGGTAGAAGAAGACACCTGGAACGCAGGGGATTAGAAGAGACATGCCAAGGAGAAGCTGAATGAGAGGCATAATAGGGGAAGCATAAATATTTAACAAAGGCCTAGGTCCCTGTGATTGCCTCTTTTGGAAGTGATCATATATACAAGACTCTAACTGAGAATACAAAATGCTCTGAACTCATCTATCACCTGTGTGCTTAGGAATCAAACACAGAAAGATTAAACAGTCTTGCAAAAATTTAGGCTGGCATGGGATCTCTCTGAGATGTTCAGCAACTTCCTTTGATCCCCACTTGTTTAATTAAAGAATATCTTTCTGTAACATGAATGAGACATGCTTAAGTATCAGAGGAAAGAGAGATGTTTTTATCTTATTGGAGTTTTGCTCAAATCTATAATTTGAAACTGTAAGTAATGGAGGAATGGAAAATCAGTCAAGGCATAGTCCCTGCTGAGATTACTTATAATGCTAAATATCTCTTCCAAGAAATATTCCCCAACGTCCTTTCCCATCTAGCCTTTCCCCTCGATGACTCTTCCCACCTTATTTCCAACTTTATTGAATAATTATATTTTGCCATTATTTTTTCCAGCAAATGCCTTGCATACTGCCATTTTCTTCTTTGGTATAGACCCTTTCTTTTTTGTCATATTTTATTTTATTTCCTCAAGGCCCAAGATAAGCCTAAGGTTGAGAATCAGAGGACTTAGTTTCTGACCTTGGCCCTTGCTTGCTCTGTGACCTTAGACAGAATTGGCATTTCAATTTTTTTTCCTCTGTAAATTGAGAAGGATAATACCATTCTCGCCCACCTTCCTGGATTATTGTGAGGCTAAAGTTGAGACACTATCCACAGAGGGGTTGAGAATGGCTAAGAAGATAAAATAAGTGATAGGTACTGTTATCAATGTATTCATTGTTGTCTTTGTTTATATAGTCCAGGACATTCTGAGTGCCATGTGCCCTGTGTACTGAACTTGGCAGAGAGGAATATAGAGGGGGAATATTTCCATGGACTGTTAATTCATTCAATAGGTAAATACTGATTAAACTCTTATAGCAGGAACTTTGAGGTGCATTGGAAGGTAGTAGATTTAGACTTTGTTCTCCAGAGACTTAAATAGTATTACAGAGGCAAGATCTATGCCTAACTTCAATAATTAATAAAAGAACAATACCAACAATATCCATCAAGAGCAAAATATGTGTTACCAACAGTCATGCTATGGAAATTCACATAATGGCATAAACACAAAGACTGTGATGGTTATGAAAGATTTAAGGGGGATGATGGGACTCTAGCCAGACCCTGACTTGAGTAGGATACAGTTGGGGAAGAGATGAGAGAGTACTCCAGGTAGAAGGCATAGCATGCACAAATGTGCGGAGGCAGGAACGGTTATATTGCATAGGAATACTGCAGAATATGTAGAACTCCCTAATTAACAGTGACAAACAAATGGTCGATGAATGGGAATACTATAACTTGAAGATCAAAAGGCAAGTTAGGAGCATTTTCTGTAGCACTTAAGAGATTTAGACTTCATCTGTTGGCAATACGGTAGTGGGAAAGATGATATCTTAACAAGAAGATGTTATTATAAATGCCATAATTTGGAAATCTTAAAATGGTTGTCTTGATGCATCTGGAGAGGTATCAGTCAATGAGTCAAGTCTCATGTGATCTTGTAATGATCCAGTTTATTTAACTACTTCCATTTTTCTCAGATTAACCACAAAAATAAGAGTTATAAATATTTTTGAGATTTCACTTAGAATAATAGTTTAACATGGAAGAAAGTACTAAGGCCCAGGTATAAGCTGCATACAAGCCCTGCTGAGTACAAACAAGAGGGTGATAGAAAATAGATAATATGCATGGTACTCAATGTATATATATGAATGCTATTGTTTTTGCTCTGTGCACATCTGGTGCTTAACTTGCACAAATTGATCCTATCTTTCCTTTTTGATGATGTCTTCGATAATCTAAAGAGCCCACAGAACTAGTCAGTGATGAGCAGAGGTAAAGGGACAGAAGTGGTCTGAACCTAAGTCTAACAATCACACTGACTGAGAAAGAGGGATCTGGGTGGCCATTCTCTGCTCCATTTTGGGGGAAAGAACCCTAAACTTGAAGTTAGATGACTTGGGTTTGAACCCTATTTTTACTATTTGCCAGCCGAATGCCTTTGGGCAAGTCATTTCTTCTTTGTGAAACTGTTTCTTCATGTACAATGTTGACAATATCTACTTAACAACCTTGTTGGGATGATTATAGAAAGGTATATAGCTTTTTAGAGCTTAAAAAGCCCCTTAATAGTTACTATGTTATTTGCTTCTTATCATCAGCCCATGGTTTGTATAGAGAAGGCATTATTGCCATTTCACAATGGGTACAGTTGAGGAAACTTTGGCATGAAGGAAGCCTCCTTCTTCAGGTCACTCAGAATGTTAACGGTGGGTCTGAGATGCAAATACAGGTCCTCTGACTTAGTGACCTTTCCACCACTATTTCCACCATGTTATATCTATGGTATCCTTAGCAAGCAGCCTTAAAGTAGCCTAAAAACAGACCTTGATGTACCATGAATACCCTCTGGTTGGCATTTATGAGGATCTAACACTTGCTGAAGACAATATGAGATTTCAGGGACATGAATGTTTAATATATAAGAACCAATTCAATCACGTAGCCATTGGAAGGCAAACCGAAGGAATCACTCCTTAGGTCATTTTCTTGATGTAATCATCATGTTTAGAATTGAAGTCTTCCATAAAGTAGCATCTAAAATGGTAATCTGATATATTTCTTTTGGACAAGTAACATACCTAATCAATATTTGAATAAAATAAAAATCCAGTTATTTGTCATTGTATGCAAGTCCCTATGGTAAATTGGTATATTCAGATAGAAGCTATTGCTCTAAGCAAGATGAAGAAGCTGCAATTAGCTGGACACTTACGATGCAACCAAAGCAGCTAAGCACTTACCTGATACCACGTGGATGAGATTGAACACAGCAGCCAGGGATTCAGTCCACTCCTCCACAAAGCTGAAGAAGAGTCGGTCAACATGGAATGGGATCCAACAGATCGCAAACACTAAGACCAAGACAACTGGAAAAGGATGATGAATGGGAGAGCAAAAAACAGTCAAAGCAAGAATAGGTAAACAGTGCCCGCTCTGAGTCCATGCATTCCTTCTAGCGTTTTCCCCTCCATCTTTGTGAAGCTATCATTGTTATGGGCCAACTAGATCCTAAAGAGCTTCTACATAGACTATTTAAATATAAGAATGAATTGTTTGGATTTGGGACCAGTTTTCCATATGATTGTACAAGATTTCTTGTATAATGTGTTTCCTTTAGAACATTTAAAATAGTATTGCATTTATTCAAAGTTCTGAAAACATTCTATTGTGGAAAATACATTATGCTGCAAGTAAACTGTTGGAACCACATAAACTGGTTATATAAATAAGTGGCTGGGTTCAAGCAATTGGTGTTCTTTAAAGTCGAAGATTAATAACAAACTGTTCAATGTAGTGTGAATTTATCTTGCTGCTCTAGAAATAATTAGAAGCTTCTCTGAATTCAGTCATTTAAAATTCTGTGAGGGGTGAGGGAGGAGAGAGAGAAAGATTGAAAGACCGTGAGCTATTGCTTTACAAGCATCTTTTGATTGGGTTGGGATTGGGGTGTATCTGTTATACAATAAATTGCTCGAGCATAGAATTCCTTCCAATTTCTTTCTGTTTGTTTTTACTTTTTATTTCGAAGTAATTATAGATTCACAGGAAGTTGCACCCTCTAGTTTCTTCTTTTCAGGTCTCAAGACAGAGATTGGTGCTACCATAGTTTCTCTTTGGGGCATTTAATCTCCATAAACACAAATATGTATGTTTTTGTTCTCTTCTGAAGTTATAAAATACTTTTCTTTCCCAAGACATGATGTTTGAGATTTGCCTCAAAATAATCTTGTAGGGGCTTGGGGAGAGAGAGGGATCTAGATGAAACAAGACTAGCTGTGAGTTGATAATTTTTGAATCTGGGTGATGAGTACATGGGTGTTCATTTTACAGTTCTCTGTACTTGTGAGCACGTTTAAAGTTTCCATAGTAAATAGCACATATATTTCTTGTTGGCGTTAAACATATTGAGAGTAAGTTGTCTGCCTGTGTGTGTCAAGAACATCTGCAAGCTGCTTCTGAGTTTAACTCCCAAGGAAAAGTTCCTAATCTGCTCACTGCCTACAATTCCCTTTAGTTAAAAACTTAGTTCCCGTTAAAATTGAACCCTCTGCCCCCAAACGCAAATATTTTACGGTATATTTTATCATTGTGACTTTAATGTGAGTGCGCTTCAAATCTTTATGTGAGAGTAGATTAGAATCAAGGAGAAAGGGGGAGAGGTAATGGACACTTGATTTCTTTTGTTGTTGTTGTTTGTTGAGGAAGATTAGCCCTGAACTAACATCTGCTGCCAATCTTCCTCTTTTTTTGCTGAGGAAGACTGGCCCTGAGTTAACATCTGTGCCCATCTTCCTTTATATGTGGGACGCCTACCACAGCATGGCTTGCCAAGTGGTGCCATGTCCGCACCCGGGACCCGAACCGACGAACCCTGCGCCGCTGAAGCAGAACATGTGCACTTAACCGCTGCGCCACCGGGCCGGCCCCTAGTTTTCTTAATATGGAAAGTCAGGAGCCAACAGGGGCTAAATGATTTCCAAGAATATGACTATTAGAGTCGAAAAGACGAACTTCAGTGACTTCATAGTTCTTTTGTTCATGAACGCCAGATACAGTGAGCGTTTCATGTGTGTATTAGCCTGGAGAATTTGTTTCTTTCAAACCTTTGGTTTTGACTTGGAAAGAATATTATAAACTTCCTTTCTCTCATCAGTATCTCTCACAGATAGATCTCATCATAGATCTCTTGTAAACCAGCATCTCATCATAGGCTGGTGCTGGATCATATATTTTTAAAACATTCTTTTGGGAGAGTGCGGATCAGTGCCTTGATATATTTTTAAAACATTCTTATCTATACAGAAAAGTATACTGTTTTATATAAAATCACAAATGTCATAGACGGAATGACTACTTAGAAATACTCTTGGCCAGATATTCTTAATCTGGAAGTAAGAGATCCCATGGAGTCCAAGAATGGGTATCAGGGGATTCATGATCCCCTGAAATGGATTGTAAAACATTTTGTGTATATGCGTTTGTACATTTCCTGAATGAAAAGTTCACAGCTTTCATCATATTTTTAAAGAAACCTATCCACAAAATAGGTTAAAACCCACTTTCTCCTGGAGAGGGAGAGAGATGCTCAAAGGCCCAGGGAGTAGATGTTATTTACCAAAATAGAAACAAAACAGACAGGTCTTAGAGACTTGAGTGAGACAAGAAAGTCCAGAACATTATATTAAGTTTCTGGAGAATTTGGATCCCGAGCTCAGCAGCACTTTCTTAGGACAAAATACAACTCCTTTGCTTTCGCAAATAAGCAAAGAAAACCCCCAAACAAAATGAAGGACTTACACAGCATTTTGGTAACTGATTTTCTGGAAGGTCTTTGAACATTTGCAGTCACTTCATCTGCCTCAAGGTGTTGTTCTTTCCTTAGCTGCAAGGAAGTAGAAAGGGATGTTAAGAAAGAGAAACGTTTTTTCCTCCTGTTAAGATCCAAGAAGGGTAATTCTAACACTCATTTTGCAGACAAAAAACTGGGACTTGAAATGTAAGGATTTGTCTAATGTTTAACAATAAATTGGAGGTGGAGTTGGATCCAGGTCGCCTAACTCAACTGGATAGATGGTTGTGGCCAACTTGTAGTGCATCCATTTATCATAGGCTATTCTGTAAAACCTAGTCATGTAGTATGTTAATAGACATTCAGTGAAAAATGTAAAATTCTGAAGTAAAAAAAATTGTTAGATAGGCTTTTCCATTCATTCATTCACTTATTCATTCCATAATTATTAGAATGGAATCCCTCTGCTATGCGGTGTCTAGGCAGTAGAAAAAACCCAGGTGTTATTCCTGCCTCACGAATTTTCTAGTCTTCATTGTGGGTCTTCTTAGAGCCTTTAATATGCCGATGGACACTATGAATCTTCACGAGGGATAGTGTTTCACCCTCCTCCCACCCCCACCTTCCACGCCCCGCATCTCCCACCCCAGCTTCAAGGGGGATAGTACTTCTTTGACTAAACAGTGCTCTCCCTCAACCCCTTTCAGTGCAATACCTAGTACCATCTTGAAAAGCACAATTTGGGAAATTCCGCTTTACTAGTATTACTGATAGGAGTGCATACGCTTCTGAGTTTAGATGTTAAAATATATTCATCCTTGTTGGACGATGTGGTGATCCTTGAAATAGCACCTTAACATTTCAGATATGAACACTGCCTGTACACGCAATCTTTCTTGTCTGGTTTGAGGCTCACCTTCCCCTGGAAGACTTTGGTGGCCACTGGAGCCCGTTGTCCTCTCCTTCGTCTGAACTCCCATAGCACTGAAGATCTACATCATCCGTCTAGTTGTGAAATTTTTGTGGGGATATTCAGTCAGATAAAAGAAGCTTTAAGAACTCTTGATAAACTACCATCAAATATCTAGAAGATAGTATAGTATATATTTGCCAATTGGTTCTCTAGCATTCATTCTCCTCTTACCAATAGTACCCTAATTTTTCCTTAGAGAATTTGCCCCTTCCCCATTCTTAGTCATTAATTTGGGTGGCATGATCTCATCCCCAGCTCCACGTTTAGTCCCTGAATAACTTAGCTACTATCCTCCAGTCAGTGATTGGATAATTGGGACCAATGAGATTTCATGTATTTGCTTGTACTTTTAGGGATGGAAGTTTCATTTCGCTTTTGTTGGGACTGCCAGAGGGACCCCTTCTTGTTCTCTGCATGTGAGGTCTGGATTTACAACAGCGTTTTTTTTTTCCACCATGAGGAAAGTGCTTGGAGCCACCAATGGGCCACTGTGAGGATCTTGAGGTTGAAACCAACACCATAGAAAGGAGAGCAAAGAAATAGAATTAAAGCTACATCCTTGATGACAATGCTTGTGTTTTACTCGATTAATCTTCATCAAGAACCAGCTCTACTTCTGGACTTATCAGGTCTATTGTCCCTTTCATATTTTGTCAGGCTGAGTTGGGGTTCCCTCATTAGCAATGTAGAGAGTCCTGACAAACTGACTGAGGACATCCGGTGAAAGGAAAATTCAACTTATTCTATGTAGTCTCAGGGCAGATTAGGGTCAATTTATTGGGTTATAAGGAGATATCTTCCAATTCAACCTAAAGAAGAAATCATTGTGGCTATGTGTAACAATGGAGCAGACTGCTCGAAGAAGCAGTGAGCTTCCTGGACTGAGTGGCATTTTGATGGAATATTTTAGAGAGGATATTTAAAATTAAGTAAGACTTGGAGGAAAGGGTCATTAAAATTTGCCTCCAAAGTTCAACAAATCAATATACTGTCTTCCTAACAAACACGTAAGCTCCTAGAAGTCAACTAGCTCTCAGGACCACACCAGCCCTGAAGCATCCACTTAGATGATTAACAAACCTGGCCACCTGTCTCTTGAATATCAAGTCATGTGCCACATAAGGATGTTTCAGCCAATGACAGACTATGTATACAACAGTGGTCCTGTAAGATTAGTACCATATAGCTTGAGTGTGTAGTAAGCTATACCATCTGTGTTTGTATGAGTACACTCTATGGTGTTCACACAATGACTAAATTACCGAACCACACATTTCTCAGAACGTATCCCCATCATTAAGTAATACGTGACTGTATTGGTGCTCTCTACATGTACCTATGTTTTCACAAACTGAGGGATTAAAGTTGCTGTGACATTTGACCCTTCGGAGGCATCTAGAATTTGGAAAGAAATAGGGGAAAATATTGTGCCGTCATTAGGAATATATGGGAGGAAAGCTAAGGTGATGTTATTAACATAACAGGAAAACAACAAAATGCAGGTAGAGTGCTGTGTCGGTGCCTGGCACATGAGACTCAAGAGGTAATATATTATTGTCATGATTCTGATTATTGTCCTGAATTTACTTGAAAGACATCATAAGAACTGCATTTTTATGAAATAGAGTTATTTATTTATATCTGTGGGCCCACTTGCGTGGGTTATTGAGTCCCTTCCAGAAATTCTCCCTCTCACGGTACCACTCCCTGACAAGCAGTATTTGTGCTGTTACAAAGAAGCAGCCAGATGCACTGAGAAGAAAAACATTGGTGTTTAGGGTAAAGCCATGCATCAAACTACAAATCTTACTAACATCTTCAATTAAATCTACTAAAGGTTATCATTATTTCCTGCCATTTAAAAAATGTGATTATTACAAGACAGTTATTCCATTATTTGATTTCATTCTATAATTATGAACAATGAAAGGATATTAAGATCTATTAGTCACTTCTTTGGGTGAGTTTAATAATTCTCGATGGTAATGTCTTCACCCCAAGGAACGATTTCCTTAAATCAAACATCAAGCAAACAGTTCATACAATTCTTCTATGAACAGGCTTCCTGTTCAGCGTAGTTTGCACTGAAAAGAAAATCATGTATCTACTAATCGTTGCTTACTTTTCAGCTTCCTTAGCTTATAGAGACACAACTAGCTAATTAGAGGAGGAGTAGAAACAGACTATTTATGCATGTTCTACATTGTTCCTGCAGAATTTGCAGAGATTGACATTGTAGAATAGAATCCAAACAATTTGTCTAGCCAATATTAAATGCTATTTTGTTACTGAATAATTTCATTTCCCTTCACATGTTTACCAAAGGAGATATTCAACTATTGGTTATTCTCACTCACCCCAAACTTTTATTTTAAAACTCAAGTTACAAAAAGAGGAGTGAAAAACTGTGGTCACTATACAGGAGGTTTAGAAGCCTGCCTACCCAGTCCCTTTAGCTATATAAGGTCAAAAGTCAGGGGGAGGTCTATGGGGTTGATTATCACTCAGGTTGATATATTATCCTGATCAGTTATTTATATGATTAAAATCATTCTGCCAGCTGTTCATTTATATAGTTTGTGGAGACTAATTTGTGTACATATCTCTACAATCTGAACAAAATCTCTTTATTAAAAAAAAATCAGTCCAACTCTGGCTAGCATGGCTGAATCCTGCTACAATTCATAATCAATCCTCTTCAATTTAAGCATTAATGCTTCATGCAGGAGATGCAAGGACTAAGTGAGAGCTTCAGCAGAACTTCCTCCCAGATGGGAAGACATGTGCCCTGGGATTGTCTATTTTCTATCTCTAACATGTTTGAACCCTGGAGAGGAGCTCAGTGGAGACCTGTGTCTTGGAATGATGAAGCAGCACGGAATGCACAGCCTTGAGTATGCACATGGCTCCCCTCCTTCTTTCCTGCTCCTGGAATTTCATCAGTCTTGAGTTTTCTGCCTTCTGAAGGAAGTGGGTCCCAGATTCAATCGCAACTTGAGACTTGCCAAGGGAGTCAATAATTTAACAATCATCAAACTTGCTTGTGTTTCTTTAAATCTCTTAAATCAAAAAGGCCATCTGAGACAACGTTTCCAAGTCTCTTGTTTTGAAGGTAGAGAAGCTGAAGTCCAGCAATGAGGGAAATATTTAACCTCATTCATTCATTCATTCATTGAGCTTACAGTCTAGCTGGAAAGAAAGATAATAAGGAACCCACAAGTATAGAATTATAAATTGTGATAAAAGCAATGAAGGGGAATCACTAGGAACCATGAGCACCTATCCTGTCGCTAGGTAGCTAGGTAGGACCAGGCAGTTAGGTAATCAGGGAGGGCTTCCCTGAGGAAGTGTGAGTGAAGTGTGATTTAAAGGATACGTGAGAATTAGAAAGGCAAAACGGATTGTGGTGGTAGACAGTAGGAACATTTAAGGCAAAGATACAGCAAAAGGTACAGCATGTGCAAAGGCCTTAAGGCCAGTGCCACAGACAGGACTTACTTCTCCCGACACCTAGGCTGGAGATCTTTAAATTCTTCTAAGAGTGACTTTCTTAGTGGTTAGTTCCTTTCCTGGTATCCTTTGGGTAACACCTCATCCTTCCAGAGGACAGAATGCTATATGTTGCACTACATACACAAGACAAACTAGGGTGGTTCCTTAGCTGTTGTCTGAGCTGTCCCTTAGCTCCTGATACAAGGTAGCTGAAGATTCATGACAACAAAACAAAGTGAAACTCAAAGTAATTGGTTGGGGTGGGGATGGGGAATGTGTGTTTCCTACTCAAAGTTAAGCATTTCCCCCAAACTGACTCAAGACAAGTGATTGGTGTTGAATGAGACGGTACTGGTAAGTTTCAGGTGGAGATTTCTCCTAGGGCTCCTGATATTTAGAATCATGCAGAAGTCCTTTCTCCCCAGTGAGATGCACATGGCATTCTAAAGACATGATCATGAGCTCGTCTCGGGTGATATATGTCTCTGGGAATACAGGGACCAGCACTCCAGCAGGAAACTGGCACAACTCTCTGCCTGATTAGATTTACTGCTGTGTCCAGACATCTGGGGTACTTAGAATTCATTCTTCCTGCTTAGACTTTGCCATTCACCTTAGACACAGTAGATATTCAAAAGGGCCACCTGTGGGGCACTCATTTCTGACATTCACCTTTCTCAGAGAGGCAGTGAAACGGGAGTCTATTAATTGTCACATAACACACAGTGTCAGAGCCCTCTTGGAGCCTGTGATGTGAATGTGATGCCTGCTTTGTTTTCACTTTCAGTTATAACTCACATTGCCCTCGCTCACAGATCTTTTTTTTCCTTCTTTTGAGGAATCACAGACTGTTAGAGCTATCAGAAGCCTTAGACATAATCTGATGTGATCCTTTCATTTTATTAATGTGAAAACCAATTCCAGGAGAGAATTGTGCGGCTTGCCTAAGGGCATATTATGTGTGAGCTTCAGACCTGGGAGTCGAAATACTCTCATGACTGTTTCCTACACACGCTAGCTCCTTAAATGGGTATAACACTGTCACAGTTAGATCTCATCTCTGTGAATTTGGATGCAGACTATATCAGGAGAAGAATTATACAGATTCATTCCTACCCTCACCAAAAATAGTTCTCTTAGAAAATTTAGATCCAGAAAAAAGAAAAAAAGAAAGAAATCTATTTACCACCACGAGCACAGGAGAGGAAGCTTTCCTTATAAGATAAGTTGCAAACTAAGTGATAACTTTCTATTCATCCCAGCTATCCTTTATTCACACTGTCTCCTAATAAACTATGTTATGTGCTCTGTTCATCTCCCCACCGCCACCCCCAGTCTCCAGCTGCTCAAGAGAAGTCCAAGCTGACCTCACTCCGGCCGTATTTTTGCATTTTAACCTGACACTTCAACCAAAGGCTCAAAGCAACCACAAGGATGAGTCTGACTTTAAAATTGTGCACCTGTCTTGGAGTATAAAACAGGTAGGGATAGTGTATATTATATTATACTCAGACGAAGTTGGTGCAGAGGAAAATTTCAATGCATACAGGAGGTGGAGGCAAGAAAGAGACAGCAGGGTGTGGAGCAGTCTCTCTGGGGGTGGCCACCTTGTGCTATTTAAAACGAGGCTCCACCTCACACCCACTGGATCCGATTTTCCTGGGGGGAGGGGTCTGCACATTGGTACCCGTAGTAAGGTTCCTAGGTGATTTCCAGGAACATTCCAGTTTGAGAACCACAGGCACAGAGGGAAGAAGAATGGAAAGTGAGTGAAAGGAAATGATTTGTAGTTATGGTTACTATTTGCCTAATTTGAGGCAAATCCTTTAACTTCTCAGTTTCCTCTTTGAGCGGATTCTATTTTTTTCTATGCCCCCTTCCCATTTCGAATTCCTCCCATTCTAAGTTTTTCTCTGAACTTTGAGTCAATGAAAAAAAAGAAGGGATGCTTCCCTAAGCCAGCCAGCTTGGATACTCACTCTGAGCCCCATGAGGTAGTAGAGGATACTGATGACAGTCATGGGGAGGATGTAGAAGAGGAAGGAGGTAATCTGGATGATGAAATTGTAGATCCACATGGGCTTGATGACGGTACAAGTGGCGGAGCCCGGGACCAAGGACCCATTGGGGAAGTAGTGGAGCTTGATGCCGTGGATGCTGGTGTTGGGCAGAGAGAAGAGAAAAGACAAGCCCCAAAGGATGCCAATGATCTTGAGGGCCCGCCGCCGGGTGCTCTCCAGCTTGGCTCGGAACGGGTGCACGATGGCCACGTAGCGCTCCACGCTGACCGTGGTGACGCTGAGGATGGAGGCAAAGCACACCGTCTCAAAGAGGGCGGTCTTGAAGTAGCAGCCCACCGACCCAAAGAGAAAGGGGTAGTTGCGCCACATCTCATAGACTTCCAAGGGCATCCCAAGGAGCAGGACCAGGAGATCAGAGACAGCCAAGCTGAAGAGGTAGTAGTTGGTGGGTGTCTTCATAGTCTGGTGCCGAAGAATCACCAGGCACACCAGGAGATTGCCAACGACCCCCACCACAAAAATAAGCGCATACACCACAGTCACCGGGAGGGAGAGGTGACTGCGTGGAGGCCCGCAGAGGAAGGTGAGGTAGTCCTCAGTGCTGTTTAGGTATTTCTTGAGTGGATCTTCCAGTTCCTGCTGGTGGATCCAGGAAACATTCTCATGTTTTTCCATCACTGACATTAAAATCCAAGCCCCGAGCCTCTTCTGGTTTGAGCGTTTGTCCCAAGCTGAGCCAGAAAGGAAAGAGAAAGTAGGCAAGAAAGCAGACTCAGTAAAGGAGGCCGGGAGAGGGTGATGCTTCAGCCAAGTTTGGCAGTGATCCCTTTTGAAGAGCTCCTGAGACAGAAGCCCCGCCCCTCCACAGGCTGTGGGCCAATGAGTGTGTGTCAGACGGCTCAGTAAGAGGACAGCTGGGTGGGGCGTGCTGGCTTTGCCTGCAGGGAGCAGGAGAGAAGCGGGAGACGTTTCTCTGAATTGGAAGGAGCTGGCAAAACAGAGCTGACACAAACGGTGACACTAACTTCAGTAAGGTGTGGGCGCTCTGAGCAGTGCATTTGGCAAAGTTGGGGAAATCTGGGTGGAAATACAAATTCAAGTTGCAGGGTCATGGGTAGAAGAGTACAAATCTCCATTGATCCTTGTCACTTGTACAGCATGACAAAAATGGGAGATCAATAGGTTTCTCAAGTTATCTTCTTCCGCTGGAAATTCAGGGCTCCCTGGGGAAAGCATGATCAATGTGCCTTTTTGGTTTTGATTGCATTCACAATAGAATCCAAAGCCTACAGGAACACTTGAACAGCCTCTAGTCCTGCCCGCTGTCTGCCATTTCAGCCACTTTGGTGTGCCTTGCTGTAGAAAAGACAGTGGGATTTAGAATCAGGCACAGCCATAGGAATTCTGTAAGACTTTGGGAAAGTTACTCAGACTCTCAGAGCCTCATTCCCTTATCTGTAAACTGGAGATTCATCCATTCTATCTTATTCAACAAATCCTTCTTGAGGATTCACTATGTACCAGGCAATGTTCTAGGCTTTGTAGAAATATCAGTGAACAAGCATGACAAAGTCTCTACCTGCATGGAGCTTTTCTTACATAGGGAATTCTGAAAACACACAAGCAAACCAATAAATTAATGACACGATTTCAGATAATAATTTGTGCTGTGAAGAGAAAAAAGGAAAAGACATCATTAAACATGAGGCTGGAGGTATTCTTTTATAAAGTATGGTCAAAGAAGACTTATCTCAGGAGATGTCATTTGGGCTGAGTTCTGAATGATGAAAAGTCAGTCGTAAAAGAGCTAAGAGAAGTGTATTCAGCAAAAGTAACAGCAAGTGCAAAGGTCCCGGGGCAGTAATAAGTTTGGCGAGTTTCAGAAACATCAAGAAGATTGGTATAGATGGGATTTAAATGAGTAGACAGGAGAGGATGAATGATTAGATTGAAGTGGCTGGCAGGGGGAGGATCATGTAAATTTTTCTAGGATTTGATGAAGTTTGGATTTTATTTAAACTTCAGGGACTTAGAATCTGATTCAATCTGATGCAAATGTTTTCAATAACTAGATTCACATAAGTAGAATTCCTGGGTCAAAAAGACAGAATTAATAAGAATTAACCCTAAATATATTTCTTTGTAACTCCCCTTTTTAAGCCAGTGTCAGAGACGATAAAAAAGTTAAACTCATCTTTCACATTCTAGTCTTCCCAAAGGCTATTTAAATTTACAGGTCCTCTAAGGTGACTGAGAGAACATACGCCCCCCCAAACCTCGCCAACACAAGACATCACCAGAGTTTACTTTTGGGGATACAATATTGTTTTCATTTGGTTTAAAGTTGACTATCTTTTACTACTTCATAGTCGATTTCCTTTTTTTTCCTTTGGAATGCCTCTTCACACAATTCGCCCAGTGTAAGTAATAAATAACTAGCAAACTAGACTTTTGAAAACACCATAGAAACAGAGACCAAAAGGTGACATTCCAGTTAAACAGTTGGAACTTTGAGAAGAGTCGGAGGAGGGCAGCCCAGATGGTAAGAAGATTGGAAATCGTACAAGTGATGGTACAAAGCACAGCGGAGGGTTTGGCCTGGAGGAAAGAGCACTTGTGTAGGACGTGATTATGAGAATGGCTTGCACATCTCTAAAAGATTGCCATATGGAAGATGAATTAAACATTCTCCGTGTTGCTTCTTTGACCCAAATAAAGATGCTACAAACAGGTGAATATTAAGTTAAAATAAGGAAGAGATTTCTAATGATTCTCTGAATTCTTGGAATAAAAATAAAGGAAGTTCTATGAGAGGCAGGGACTTCCCTGGAAAGGACGATAGTTAAGAGAGACTGGAGACCCTTCAGAGCTGCCGAAAAGGATTATAAGTCAGATAAGAATGGATGAGCTTCTTGCTGCTCAGAGTGTCCTCCACAGACCAGCAGCATCCGCATCAGCATCGTATGCAGAATTGGGGGCCCAGCCCGGACCTCCTGCATCGGAGCGTGCGCTTCAACAGGACGCCCAGGAGATTTGTTTGTACGTATCGTGTGGGGAGGACTGGACCAGCCGACCTCTGTAGTTCTTCCTTGTATGATCCTGTGAGTCTGGTGTGATTTCAAGGGAAGGGAACTGGGGTGTGGTGTGAGGACAGCGGAGGGGATCCTGTTGAGCTGGCGAGGCTGGTAAGAGTTTTCAAACTACGCCCGTCATTTCCGCATCAAGTTCTCAGCAGAGCCTGGCATGATCCTGGAAGAAGTGGTGTTGTCTCACCCAGAATCGATTTTGAGCTGTTGACTCTCAGAGCCGGAGGAAACCCAGGTATTGTCTAGTTTATAACTTCATTTGATGTAAGAGGGACTGAACTGAAGGTCAGAGAGGGGCAGTGACTGCTGCCAGCTTAAAATAAAAATTGATGGCTCCTTTATACTGTAATTTCTAACTAGGTTTGTCCTCTCCCTACCTTGCTATCTCTCTCCATCTTTCTCTCCTTCTACCTCTCCCTCCCCATATACACACACACACACACACTTCTTAAATTAAACAACCTTCTTTTTAAGTTAATCTCATGGCTGTCCTCAGGGACAAATGTCAAAAGCAAAGACTGAGGGAAATGCACCTCAGAGGGAATCTTTTCTAGGTGTAGCAAAGCAGGCTGTGAAGAGCAACATGAATAGGCGTTGAAGTCAAAAGGAATATAAACTCAGAATGTAAATACTGTTCAGAGTGATGTATGCTCTTCACGAGCGTCTCCTCAGACTCTCCAGCTGAGGTTTGTCATTGGTTATTTATCTATTGTTTTTAAATACTTTCTTTTTTGAGCATGACTAGCCCTGAGCTAACATCTGCCACCAATCCTCCTCTTTTTGCTGAGGAAGACTGGCCCTGAGCTAACATCCGTGCCCATCTTCCTCTACTTTATGTGTGGGATGCCTGCCACAGCACGGCTTGCCAAGCAGCGCATAGGTCCTCACCCAGGAGCTGAACCGGTGAACCCTGGGCCACTGAAGCAGGACGTGAGAACTTAACCACTGCACCACCGGTCCCACCTCTGTTGTGGGTTATTTTCTTCAAGAGTCTAGGTCATGATTTAGGCCAGAGAAGAAAATAGAGAATAGTCAAGCAGCAGTGGATGGAAGTCCAAATCTCAGCGTTAGAAAACCTGCATACGAATCCCAGTTATATCATCTAAGGGGACTACGTTTGGTCCAAAGGGTCCTTGGGTGTGTTACTTTATATATGTGTACTTCAGTGTCCTAATGTGTAAGAGTAGGGATTATTTTTATTTTGTCTACTCACAGGGTTGTTCTGAGTTCCAATAATACTCAGGGAAAATCCTTTGTAGCTTCCAAGAGATGTTTGCAACTTCTTGTTTGCGTTGTCACTCTTCCCAATGAAGACCTTAAGATTCACAGTGGCAGCCACTGTCTCACTTGTTTGCTGGTCTACTTCCATGGCTAGCACAGTGCTGTCGCATAAAGAGCACTCAATCAAGTTTTGGTTAAATGGACAGATAACACATGAAGAAAAGAAGGAGGAGGGAAGAAAGCCAGAAGCACAGCAGGCTGTCTGCTTGGGTGACATTAGTCTTACTTGTGATTATCAGGTTTCCTGGTGTTCAGGTCTTTCTGGTCTTCTGGTCTGATGTTTCTCTCATAGGTTTTGCTTTTTAGTGATGACACTAGACTGGCTAATGGTGTAGTGAGAAGAACTAGGGCTCTGTGGGCAGGTGGACCTAGGTTTAATTTTGCTGCTTGAAAATATATGACCTTGGGCAACTTACATATCCTATCTGAGCATCAGTTTTCTCATAAGTAAAATGGGATTAAAAATTCCTCACTTAATACGGTTGTTGTGAGGATTAAATGACAAAATCTGTGTAAATAGTTTAGCATGGTGTTTGGCATACAGTAAGCATTCAATAAATGTTATTTTCCTGCACTATGATTTTAAGGAGGTTGATCTACTAATAAAAAGATTTGATCAATGGCTGTTATTCTGGTACATGGTAGGCATTCAATCAATTATTTGAAGTAGAGTGCATGAATGTAATATTGATTTTTATCTTTAATCACATTTTAGTTGAAGGCAATTTATAAGTCCAAGATTTTTGTACATGATTAAATGTTAGCTTTTTATCTTTTATTTGAAAAGTGTTGATTATACTACTTCCGTCTTTTGATATTGAGAATTTTTTCTTTGTTCTGATCTAGATCAATTTTTGTCAATGTATGAAAACTTGAGAAGAAGATATATTTTTGATAATAGATAAAACGTGTTCTGTATCTATTAATTTCACCTTATGGACTACATGAGTTAATTTTCTTTGATGGAAAGCATTAATAAACAAACACAACTTGTTTAGTCGTAGCACACTGGGTAATTCACAAAATTAAAGGGTGAGATAAACAGCCTGGCCTCAAGTGGGAAAGGAACAAGGTGAGCTCTGGAGAGCCAAGCAGCATCACTCGTGAGCAGCATCTTTGGATCACTGTCATCAGATGCTTCATTCCAACTATAATCTCTCCCTTTGGATCTCTGCTTAAGAGTCATATTCCTCAAAGAAAGAGTGAGATTGACTTAGCTTAGATTTCTTGCCTAATTCTGTGAATTACGGAGGAGGTCCAGTTCCCTACTAGATGAAAGGAAGAGGAGACTAGACAGGCCATAACAGAGTTCCACCTACCCAGGTCGCATTTTTGTATCCTCCTTTCAATCTTTCTCTTTCATCTGCCAGACTAAGCCATGGGTGTATTTAGGACTCAGAAAAATGGAAACGTGATTAGCTACATAACAGA